TCTGTTGTTTGGCCAGGGTCATCCCCGTCCCACCAGTGTGTTAGGCTCAAGAATGTTAAATAACATGCCCAGCCTGGGTCGAACATAACATTTTGTTTCCACTTTTTAACAAGTACTGGCATTCCTCTGGTCTAATAGCATCTAACTCCTCAATACTTCTCCACAGCAAGATTCCTAAAAAAGGCTTTGTGGAGGTGACGGAACTCACAGATGTAACGTACACCAGTAACTTGGTACGCCTGAGGCCAGGCCATATGAACGTGGTCCTCATCCTGTCAAATTCCACCAAGACTAGCCTACTACAGAAATTTGCCTTGGAGGTCTACACGTTCACTGGGTAAGCACCGTGTGAGCATGTGTGTGTGTGTGTGTGAGAGAGAGAGAGAGAGAGAGAGAGAGAGAGAGAGACTACATGAAGGTTTAGGTAAACAGGCCACTGGAGAGAAATTATGTCCTCTTTAGCTGCAAGCTTTACCATTCAGCAAGATGTTGGCTGTGACCTTCCCCACTCAAAAATGTAAGCCTTCATGGGGTGACCTTGCTTTCCCCTTTATTTCATGTTCTGTTGGATGAGAACAGAAGAGATTGAACTCAGTCTTCTTCCCTGAGCCCTTCCAGAAAACTGAGTGTTCTTTAGCTCCTGTGTGTTTTCCAGGAGACACACACCAAGAATGATGTAGGTGGCACTCTGCAAGGGCCAAGAGGATGGCTGAGTAGATGTTGACACTGTTGTCGAACCCCTCTGGCTGGCTCCGAAACCCTTCATTTGCTCTGTCTGAGGCAAAGCCTTTTCTGTTATTTGAAGTCTAACTCGGACCCATGTGTCAGGAAACACCCTCAAATCTGCATTTTGTTCTTTTCCAGGAGCAGCTGCCTGCACTTCTCCTTCCTGAGTCTAGATAAACACAGAGAGTGGCTAGAATACTTGTTAGAATTTGCTCAAGATGCAGCCCCCATCCCAAACCAGTATGACAAGCATTTCATGGATCGTGACTACACAGGCTACGTACTGGCTCTGAATGGCCACAAGAAATATTTCTGCCTCTTCAAGCCCCAGAAACCAGTGGAAGAGGAGGACGCAGCCATGGGGTCATGTGGTGATCTTGACTCTTCCCTCCACCTGGGTGAATCACGAGGGAAATCTTCCTGCGGCCTTGGGTCCAGGCCCATCAAAGGAAAACTGAGCAAGTTGTCCTTATGGATGGAACGCCTATTGGAAGGCTCCTTACAGAGGTTTTATATCCCATCTTGGCCTGAATTAGACTGACAGGATTTCAAAAAGAGAATTGAACTCTTGACTTTTTAACATGCCCCTGCGAACAGGTATTTTCAGGACTCTATCCCCTCAGAGTATAGACTTTAGATTACTCTTCTAGAACAATGGCTAGAGGAATCTTTCCTTTATTTTGTTCTAACCTAGTAGTGGAAAAACACCACTAGGTTGAGTTCCTGGATTAGAACACATCCTTCTTTTTCTTCCCCTCTTATTTGAATGCCGCACTATTTAAAATCGATTGCCCATCCCGCTTCCTTTGTTGCCCAGCAACATGCTCACAAGGCAATCCCTAGCCCTGTCTCTTCTGATGGAGAACACTGGGCTGGGCCTGCAGTGGGGTCTGGGCGGGACCTCCGGAGCCCGCTATGGAAGTTGGGTTGCTTCCTGCACTCCGTCCCTCTGTGCTTTCTGCACGCTTCAGCTCTGGCACCACCCAAGCAGCTCTTTAGGCCCTGAGTCTGGAGAGGGCCCCAGTCCCAAGCAATCTTATACTTAATGGTTTCTCCAGTAGTAAGTGGCTAACGGTATATTTGGGGGGCATCTCCCTACAACAGCTTGTCAGCCGCCATTTAAAAACGATAAGGCTGTGTGGGGGTTCTGCTTGTGAGTTTGGTTTTCTTCTCAATAAAAGATCAGGGTGGGCTGGGCAGTGACTGACAGGCTGCAGCTCTGGGATCCCTTTGTGAGAGTCCCTCCTCCAGCGCCAAGCAAGCCAGGGGAAGGAAGGGTCTGCGCAGCAAGAAGTACTGTACTGACTTGGAGCCATTTACAGGAATGTTTCCCGATGCCTTTCTGCCGCTGTCAGCTTTAGGATGTGGCTATTAGGAGCCATAACTTGTAACTTTTTCTCTGAGTGTAGAGGTCAGCTGCTATGAGCCAGTAGATGCTAAACTGAAGACATGATCCCCACCTGCCAGTGAGTCCAGCTCGTGGGGCACCTCCTTTCACTCCAGCCATGTCTCTTTAGTAAAATATACACATGTCTTTGTATCAAGGAACTTAACATGTATCAACATTTGTATTTTGGACACTGTTCTCCCCAAAGTGCTGTGTCTTCAGGTCCTCTTTGCAGTGAGAGAGCCAAGACTTGTTCTAGACTCTTGTTTTTCAAAAGGCTTATTTTTCAGCTTCTGGCCTCCATTTTCAGCTCTCATCTTCACTGTTTTCATTCCTAATTGATAACTGCTTTGCTAGGGTCAGGGTCAGGCTGATGGGCAGTGCCCAGCTTGCTGAACTCCAGTGCATAATGGACCCCAGGCTGGGACAGACCCGCCAGCCAGAGGGGTAGTTTGGTGTTTGGTGGGTTTTGTGTTGTGTTTTTCAGGGCAAAATCACCAGTGGAGTTTGAACAGCTGCAAAGAGAGTGGTCTGTATGAATGTCAAAGCAAATTGCCTTTTGTAAAGTGAAGGGTGAGAATCAATGATGGGACATTTACTACGTTAGTATTTATTTATTTAATCACAATTGCTTTAAACGAAACCAGTTGGATCCTGAATAATTTAAATAATTGGTCTACAGTGGTAAGTAACAAGTTATTCCCACCCAGGAATAATTCCTATAATACTCTTGGAGTCTATAGCTTTATTTGACAGATAAAGAAATTACTGTCAGGCTTCCTGCTTCCACATGGTCCTCTAAAGTGGACGATGACTGAATGCCAGGGCACGTGGCCCAGCTGGAAATGGCCCAGAGATTCGTTCTCTGCGTCTTTTACGGTAGATTGCTTCTATCAGTAGTGACTTCATTCAATGGTAGGTTGTCATTGTTAATTTCTGGTACTAATGGAATTCTCAATCTTAATTTCTGAAAACCAAAAACTGCCTAGATTTGTCCTTTATTATTATTATTATTATTAAAATGAAAAGCACCTTCAGACAGCTGCACCTTCCATTTGTACCAGCAAAAGAAAGATGATGGGATTGAAAACATTGCTAGAAAAATGTTTTGGTCCCCAAATTCTTGTACAGACCCATTTGAAGACTGGGAAGTGTGCCTCCCAGGTGGTACATGTGTCATTCTTTTGGGAGTCTCAAAGATGTTTTATTTCCAGTTCAACTATCTATACCCTTAACCATCTTCCTGAATGTTGTTTTAGTCAGTTTACTTTTGTGTCAAATGTATGAACCACAGTCATGATCAGCCAATAACACTATCATTTCTGTTTCTAATGAATGTGCTCAGATATGACCCAATTTCAGTTTATGTTCACTTCTGGTCTTCTACTATCTTGAAGTTGTCAACATTGATTTTTTTAAAAAATTTTTTTTAAGAGGTGTGTTTTTCTGGTTGATACAGCTTGTACACTCTACGTCATGTCCAGCAGACAGGGAAGAAAATGGCAGCTGGCCAGAACAAGTCTATGTACAATATATTCCCATTTCAAAACTATCATCCAGTTGTTGGGGTGTTGGTTGCACAGTGTGTCTACCACACAGTTCGTCAGCTCTAGCGAAGCAACCTTTCAGCAAGCAGGATTGACGGCCCCGGCTCCATCCAGGACCAGGTCTCCTTACCATCATTCATTGACCTTGATAACTCCGTTGTAGTTTTCAAATAAATAGGTTGGTCTTTTTCCTCATTCCCAGGCAGGGCACACACCCCTATTTATATGCCATCATCCAGTTAATTTGCAACTGCCATCAGTTCATAAATGTTTCCTTGATAGAAAAAGAAACAGGATCTGAATATGTTTTCAGTCATTTGCTTTGTTTGGGAAGAAGGCTCAGAAGCAAACCAGGCTTTTTTTTTTTAATAAAATTATTTAAAAGCTGATGCAAAACATCTTCACAGATGGAAATGTTGCCCAAATCTGAGTACCTGATATGATCCCCTGAAAAAACATGCTCTGTGGCAGCTGCTCAATATGTCTGTTCGGGTTGTCACGGAGGATGGTGGTTCTTGGGAGACAGATGTAAAAGAAGGTGAATATTTTGCACTTTTGATACTCTTAGGAACAAATAATTTATTTGGCAAGTTGCGTCTTTTTTATGTTTTTTGTTTTGTGTTTTGTATTGTGAACAGGCGCTGAAGCTGATGTTATTTTGTTTTTAAGACTGGAAACAGAAATAAACTATTTTGACGTGTGACATCAGGGGCTAGCGCTCACATGCCACGACACGGATTTAATCTCGGGCACCGTGTAGACCAGGTTGGGTCTGCATGTATCAGCGCATGCAGAAGGTCAGCAGTCCTCACCTGGAGACACCAGGGATGGCTGTGCTAGAGGACACGTGGACTGAGGAACACAAGCAAAACTAAGGCTTGCGGAGAGTGGGGCAGAGGAAGCTTCACTAAGGGCTCTTTGAGGGTCAGCTGATGTTAGCCTTAAAAAACATTTCATACATTGTCCTGGGTTTAAGCAAGAAGCTGCTTTATTAACTTTTTATTGAATGGTCCTAAAAACAAGGTGCAGCCCTAAGCTCCTGAGCAGTAGGAAGATCCTACAGACCCAAAGTGTTTGTATAGTGTTATTTCGTGGCCTTTTTCATTTCATATCTCCAGTTTAGACAGTGTTGAACTCCATTTTCCATCCCTCCCCACCCCACTCCCCCCCCACACACTTTCTTTCGCCAAAGGCAAAAAAATCCAACTGCTACCTGTTAGAAGTTACTTCAAACTACTGTGAAATTGTAGCTGTTGGGACGGGAGCTCTGCCACGTGCCCTGATGTGACTGACAGACACCCAGGACATGGTTAGCAGGTTAGCATTACTGGCAGACACCATAGTACCCAGACTGCTTGCTCATGAATTCTGGAGAACCTGCCAGTGACGCCATCGGTCATTTCCCCTTGAGGCACGCAAGCTCAGACAACTTGGACTTTTGGGAGAACACATAGCATTTCAAACAGCAGGTTAGCTGCCAGCAGTGACGTGTTTCCTACGAAGAAGTAAAACCCAGCATGAACACCGCACGCTTCTGGAGCAGTGGCTAGCTTTCCTTCCTGCTGTCGTCTAGAGTCCTGCCGTCTGTCCTCTTGTCTGGGCTTCCCACCCACCCTGTGGATGCACTTTCCTTGGGACCCTACCTCCATCCAGCATGCACATTAAATTCACCAGCTTCTCTGTGTAGGCTGAGAACAAGTTTTCGCCCAAAGGAAAACCTTCAGCCATGATATGTAGTGTATTTTGTACTTTTCTGAGGTTAATGGACCAAATTCCATAAGCTTTCCTAAATTAAAGTCATAGGGATGGCTTGTGCCTGAAGATCTTTCCTAATCTCGCAGACCCCCCACTTGCTTTGAGAATACTGTTTTCGGTGACATTAACAGGAGGATGGAATTGTGCCACTCAGCCACAAAATAGCGAGCTGGTTTATTTCTCTTCAACTGGCTGGTAGGAACAGTAACAATGCGTAGCTACCTCCCAGAGTTTTTGTTAGGGTGAATTAGTTCATGTTTGTAAGTGTAGAGTAATAGGTTTATTTCCTTTGCTATGAGACATACTCAGCAGGTATAATGGGACCCATCATTTTCAGCTTACTAACTAGATAGATATAATTTAAACAAGCAGCTGCCTACAGAGCAGTTTTTTCACTTACCGGAAGGATCATACAGCGGTGAAACTTCCACAAGGTCACAGCCCACCACATTCAGGCCCTGGCAGCCCCGGATGATCTCCAGAGCCTGTTTAAGATCAAGTGAGAGCTATTCACAATGGTAAATTTACAATGAAAAAGCATCTAGCACAAGCTCCACAGTGGACGGCACCCAATACATGCCCACTCCTGGATGTGAGACTGTTGTTCTCAAGAAGCATTTAATGACTGTAGAGGGACTGGTGGGCCTTGCAGGACCACTAGCAACCAACACACAGTTCTTGCCTCAGTGTGGAAACAAGCAAACCAGTCATTGCAGTGTTGTGTGTTCAGGTTTCCAGAGACGCCAACACAGAACAACCTGAACTCAGCCTGGAGAGGTGGGGTTGGCTTCCCCAAGGTGGAAGCGTGAAGCTCGTGGAATTGACAAGGCCGATGTGTAGCGGAAGGGCATTCCTGGCAGAGGAAACGACATGCAAAGGCACCAAAATGGGAGACATGTGGCTGGAAAACAAGGTAATCAGGGAAATGGTAGAAGAGGGGTGCCTCATCTGGAAAGGTTTCCGTTCTGCAGGAATTGAGAATGCTTTTGGATGGCAGGACCTTTGTTTTAGTCACCCACCTCCCTGTCCTTGGAACCTAGAGTGGTGCCTGACATATAAACAGGAGGTCCTCAAAGATTTAAGTGAATGAAGATTGCATGAACCTAACCAATGATCTGATGTCTTGTAAAAATGTAGTTAAGTACCATCAAGCCAGCTCTAACTCAACAGTGACCCTGTATAGAGTTTTCAGAGGAGCAGCTGGTGGGTTTGAACCTCCAACCTTGTAGTTAGCAGTCCAGTGCTTATCCTACAGAGCCACACCAGGACTCCAGTAGGCAGTTATCTTGTGCACACTTTTGAAATTTAACCCTAATTTCTAAAAAGGTAAGTTTCGTGTGTTTAAGGGGACACTCACACCTTGGAAGCCCTATACAGGGTCACTATGAGTCGGAACAGACTTACCAGCATTGTCCCCATAAGCTGACTACAGAGGCCAGATGATTAAGTAAAGGATTATTATATGCCAGATAAGAGATGCATGCCCTTGGTCACTCCTTAGTATTCAAGCCCACAGTCAGAGCTGGAACAATAAAGGCTGTTGGTGTTAGGTGCTGTTGAGTCCATGCCAACTCATAGCAACTCTGAATAAGGTTTCCAAGGAGTGGCTGGTGGGTTTGAACTGCTGTCTTTGTGGTTCGCAGTCCAGTCCTTATCCTACAATGCCACACCAGGACTCCAAGAATGGCCTACCTGCTGATTTTTAAAACCCTGTCTTAATTTTAGGTCTCACCCCAGTCCCAGGAATTCTCAGCAGTGGATCCTTACCTGACTAGGGGTGAGCCCAGCGATCTCTGGTGTCCCTGTCCCGGGGGCATAGGCAGGATCCAAAGCATCAATATCAAAGCTGATATAAAGGGGTTTGCCTCCCATCTGCTGCCTCACCTCCCCCATCAGAGGAACCAGTGACTTCATCCAGCAGTCTTCTGCAAGGACTACCCGGAAACCCTGAAGAAGTAGGAAGTGAGGGATTGGATGGTTGACACTTCATGGCAGTACTTCTGAGCATTCTCTGGGTGCCAACCCCCATGCTAAGCTCTTAATGTGCATATCACAATTGGCCTCCATCCCCCATGTGGCAGGAACTACTGCCCCCAATGTACAGATGAGGAGCCTGGGTGCACACGGGAAAGTAAAGAACCAAGAGTAAGTCAAAGCTGACCTATGGAGATGGGGTCAGAGAGGAGCTCTGCTTAAGCAATAGTAAATTCAGCTCACTGTCAGCCTCAGGAAAAGGGTCTTGTCCCATGTGTTTCCATGAAAGCCCAAGTTCCTGGGGGTATGAGAATGAGAACTAAGGTGACAACTCATCTGGCCTCAGACCTCAAACTTTTTTCCAAGAGAAGCCAGCAACGTCTGAGTGGCTACTTGGTTTCTACTTGTCTCCTGACCCCAGCATTGAGAGGCATCCTGTGCCTGATAAACATCCTCACCTTGCTCTGCTCCACATGATCTTCTTAGTGCAATCCCACCCTTTCGGCCTCACCCTCTCAACTTGGCTAGTGAGGTCGCTGGTGAATCTAGCTGCCTTGCCAGAGGTACTCACCTGACTGCGGCTGTATCTACAGGGGTCCATGGTAGTGGAAGAACCCCGGATGCCGATCTGCACCACCCGCTTACAGTCCAGGAGACCCTCGTCCACGCATCGGCGGAAGGGTGTCCCATGATACAACTTCTCTCCCAGGGCCTTGTCCGCTATGTCCATGTGTGCGTCCACATGCAGCAATCCCACAGGGCCATGCCTGAGGACACAGGACAATCAGAGGCCAGACCCCAAAAATCTGATGAGAATTCCTAGCCACAGAGGGGAGAGCTGGCATCAATACCTGCCTTGAAACTGGTTTCTGTCTTCAAAATCAAATCACTTAGCATCTCAGAGGAAAGATCGACTCCAGAAAGTCAGGCAAAAACAGACATGCACCTTAGCAGTCACTCCCGCCCCATCAGCCAGCATCTGCTTCACTTGGAGAAGGCAGGGCAGACCAAGTGGGAGCGCACGGTGCCTCAGATGAGCTTGGCTGAAGGCTGAACTGATCAGAAAGAGCCAGTCTTTCTCCAACTGTGGCACCCAGAAGAAACGTAAACCCAGCTGTCTCAGCATCATTTCACCCCAAATAAATGTACCATGCAAAATCACAGCTTTGAAAAAAGACCTATACTCACCACCACCAACTAGAAAGACACCCAAATGCCTTTTCTCGTGCTCAGATTCTGAAGTTACTACCACTCCTACCCTGTTACCTCTTTCTAAATTAGCTAAAGTCACCTGTCTGTCATATAGTAGTGGCTTGTGTAGTGTGACAATGTTGGAAACAATGCCACCAGTATGTCAAAAATCATGGTGGATGGACTGCAGTAGAGCATCCAGACCAAGATGGATTAAGAAGAAAGATGGATTAAGATCTGCTTCTGAAAATGAGCCCATGTTTACCTTATGGTACAGAATATCCAATCTAGTGCTAGAGGATGAGCCTCAGAGGTTGGAAACCAAAACCAAGCCAAACCCACTGCCACTGGGTCAATTCCAACTCATAGTAACCCTATAGAGTAGAGTAGAACCGCTCCTTGGGATTCGCAAGAGAAGATTGTAAATCTTTATGAGAGCAGATAGCCTCATTTTTCTCCCAAAGAGCAGCTAGTGGGTTAGAACCTTGTGGTTAAGAACCCAACACTTAGCCCACAGTTCTGCACTTAGAATATACAACAATGGGCTCTAACATAGCGACAGTCATGCAGATGGTGCCGTGCTGGGCAGATTCCTTCTGTTAGATACAATCTCAACCAGAAGCCACAGTGGTAACTAGCAACAACAAAAGAAGTCAATCTCTGGTGGACGTCCACTACACAGAAATCAATCTTTCCATCATCTGTGAAGGGCACCATTTCAGGAGAAAGCAGGAGTCTCCACAACCAGCTCTACCTTTGTGTCTCAGGATTAGTATTTGCCCATTTGAGATGTTGTGGGCTAATGTGTCAGACTGCAAAGTCAGTTTGAACTACAAGATCAGCAGTTCAAGCTTACCAGCTGCCTCGGAAACCCTATACAGGGTCGCTATGGGTCAGAACCAACTTGACGGCATTTAACAACAACAACAATAGAAGCAAAACAGAAGCGAAAGTGAACTGGTGTTGTATATTTCACTCGAAGCTCATCTTCCAAAAACAAGCCAGTTGAAAACACTAAGCATGCATTCCAGAACAGATCCAGGGCCAGGGAGGGGCCAAAGTGTTAATAATCAATTGTCTTGACTTCCGGGAATTTTCTGTCGACCGCAATAACCAGAGCCAGTGAAGGTCACTTGATGTCATCTAGGAGCAAACAACACACTCCCTAGCTCCTGGATGTTGAAACCTCTCTTGGGCCATGCCACTTGGGACTTACTTTTGAGCCATCGCTTGCATTATGGGATATGTGATTGTGTGATCTCCACCTGCAAAGAGAAAAAAAAACAAAACACAAAAACTGCTGGAATGTAGATAAGATTATAGAGAACCATGGGTGACAGAGAACAAACTTAAATTCACCCAATTCTGCCGCCTTTCCAATTGGACTGACTTACCATGGAGCTGATTCCATCTGTGGCAGAGAAGAACTGTGCTCCACAGAGATCTTACAAAAGCAGATCCCCAAACCTTCCTCCCGAGGCAACTGAGTGCCTTCAAACCACCAACCTTTCAGTTAGTGGTCCAGCACTTAACCATTTGTACCACCCAGCAGAACTATGACCATAGATAACACAAGATCTTTTTCAATGGTAGGATGTTTCAGATTTCACTGTCTTTTTAAAAGAGGAAATTAGACAAGTCCATGTTTATAGTTTATAAATGCCTAAACTTAACTTTGTCCAATAGAACTTTCTGCAATGACAGTGTTCTATATTTGCGCTAGCAAATATAGTGGCCAGAAGAACGAACCAGTCTGTTCTGGAAGAAGTACAGCCTGAAGGCTCCTTAAAAGGGAAGATGGTCAGACTTCATCTCATATACTTTGGACATGTCATCAAGAGGGACCAGTCCCTGGAGAAGAACATAATTCTTGGTAAAGTAGAAGGTCATCAATACAGAGGAAGACCCTCGATAAGATGGATTTACACAGCAATGGGCTCAAACAGAGCAAGGGTTATGAGGACAGTGCAAGGACTGGGTCATGTACACAGCGTCACCATGAGTCACAACTGACTGGTCAGCACTTAACAGCAACAACAGCCTCCTGTGGCAATTGAAAGACGGCTAGCATGACTAAGAAACTAAATTTTGAATTTAATTTTAGTTCATTTTCATTTGAATGGACACCTGTGGCTAGTGGCTACCTTACTGGACAGAACAAGCCTAGAAAACTAACGTTGTTAAGTGCCATCAAATCAATTTCGAGCCATAGTGACCCTGAAGGAGCGGCTGGTGGGTTTGAACTGCCAAACTTTGCTTAGCAGTCCAGTGTTTATCATACAGTAATGTTGTTGTTACGTGCCATCTATGGTACCAACTCATAGCCATGCTATGCACAACAGAATAAAATACAGCCCAGTCCTGAACCATCCTCACAACTACTGAAATGCTTGAGCCCACCGCTGCTGCCACTGTGCCAATCCATATCATTGGAGGTCTTCCTCTTTTTTCGCTGTCCCTCCACTTTACCAAGCATGATGTCCTTCTCCAGAGACTGGTCCCTCTTGATAAAATGTCCAAAGTATGAGAGATGAAGTCTTCCCACCCTAGCTTCCAAGGAACACTCTGGTTATACTTCTTCCAGCATAGATTTGTTTGTTCTTTTGGCAGTCCATGGTACTTTTAATATTCTCCTCCAACACCATAACTCAAATGCATCAATTCCTTTACAGTCTTCCTTATTCATTGTCCAACTTTCACATGCATATGAGGCTGACATTTCTTGAAGTTTAACATGTGCCAGGTACAATGCTAGGCACTTCATACAGACTTTCATTATATGTCCCTCACATAATACAATGAGGTAGGAGTATTATCATTCCCATTTTACAGATGAGAAAGCAGTACAGTAAGTAACACAGTAAGAAGCGGAGCTGAGATTTCAAACCATGCTGATTGCAGAAACCACACTCCTTATCTGCTATGCTGCATAGGCAAGTTTGTTGTTGTGTGCCATGGAGTCGGTTCCAATTCATAGCGACCCTGTACAGGGTTTCCGAGACTGTAAATCTTTACGGGAACAGAAAGCCTCATCTTTCTCCCACGGAACAGCTGGTAGTTTCGAACTGCTGACCCTGAGGTTAGCAGCCCGATTCATAACCACTACACTACCAGAGCTGCTAGGCTCTCTAATTTGTCAGAAATCAATTTGAATACTTAGGCAAAGCCCATGGCGTTTGAATTCTTTGTGAACCAGAAACGCTACAGTGAGAGTGGGAGCTGGATGGGAGAGGAGGAAGGAAAGCTGTACTCTAGATAAATGTGGACCATCTAGATATACCCTGTGACCAGGTGAAAAGACCCCTTTCTGGTTAGTTCTCCCCTCCGAGAAAATCATTAGAGACAGACAGAAAGTGGCAACTGAGCCCCTACTATCAGCCTTCTTCAGGCCCCGTATCTTAGTCACCAGCGCTGTGAAGTAAATGAATTAAGTGGCTGCAAGATTTAAGGTACACCAAGAAGCTCAGTAATCAAGATGAAGATTTTTAATATAATTGTTTTTTAAAAATCAAGATCAATCCCTCCCCGCCAAAAAAAAATCATGTTGAACAAAATATTAAAATGTTAAGCAAAGAATCTGTAACAGTGCCACTCTGAGCCATCTTGGAGTCTGAGACAAAGGGGAAAAATATCAACAATACTTCACTGATCTTGAGGATTGAGTTTGGGGGCACCTCTTAAATTTTGCACCTAGTTTAGCCCTGCCAATTCAAAAATTTAAATATCCTCTCTTCAGGGGTTAAAATAAATGAGGGGAATTTGCCTCTTTCTTCCTGTCGCCATATCCACAGGGGCTTGCCCTGGAGAAGCAGTCATACTCAAGCCCAGAAGAAATAAACCCCAGCGAAGGAACTGGCCTTGGCAGACCACCATTACCCAACGTCAGAGGAACACAGCCAGCTGCTACAATTTTCTCGTAGGCCTCTCGAATGAGCCGGCAGCTGTCCTGAAGGTTGTAAAGGTTGACATTCACATCGCCCATGTCCGCAACCATGAGGGACTGGAAGGGGAGGGCCCCTGTGCTGGGATTGACTAACCTCAGCATCACGGATTCCTCCCTGATCCGACGGGGGCCGAATCTGAAAGAGGAAGAATCATCCACAGAGATGGAGGTTCTGCCGACACCAGGACTTGTTGGCCTCACATTGTTGGCATTGGGCTGAAGGACTCTTGCCTATAGGTGCTGGCATTGTAAGAGGTTTAGCAGCATCCCTGGCCACCACCCATTGGACGCCAGGGGTACCAACCACTCACCCAGTTGTAACAACCAAAAACTAGCAAACCTGTTACCCTGGAGTCAATTCTGACTCAGCAAACCCCTGTATTACCAGGTCTGTCTTCTACAGTGCTGTTGGGCAGGTTTGAACCTTCAACTTTAGTTAGTTAAGTGCCATCGAGTCAGTTCCGATGCATGGCGACTCTGTATAGGGTTTCTGAGAAGCAGCTGGTGGGTTTGAACTGTCAACCTTGCAGTTAGCAATCAAGTGCTTATTCTACAGCACTTGCTAAATATCCCCTGGGGGACACAATCACCTCCGGTTGAAAACTTATGGTCTAGCCTACATACTGAAGAGATTAAAGGAGCAGGCTTCGGAGGCCACCACTTTACCAAATGACGTTACACAATTTCCTAATCTCTCTGAGCCTCAGTTTCCTAATCTATAAAATAATACTACTTATTCTACCCTGCTGTTATAAAGTGCTTTCTACTTGTTGATAAGTGCCGTCAAGTCGGTTTCGACTCATAGTGACCCTGTATAGGGTTTCCGAGGAGCAGCTGGTAAATTTGAACCACCAACCTTGTGGTCCAGTGCTTTATCCCACAGCGTTACACCAGGCCTCCTTCCACTTAGTACACAGTAGACATTTAATAAATGGAGACTTTTATCATTCAGACCCTATAGTCAGAGTCCTGGTATGGCGCTGTGGGATACTGTGAACTGCAAGGCCAGTTTGAACTGCAAGATCTGTGATTCAAGCTTACCCACCGCTCCTCTGAAACCCTATACAGGGTCGCTATGAGTCAGAACAGACTCCACAGCACTTAACAACAACGACAACAATAGTCAGATATAATGTTACTGAGCTGACTCAGAAACAGCTGATGTTAAATATTTAGGAAGATGGACCTCAGTTCCTTTGTGTTGATATTAGGTTGTTGCTGTTGTTCAAACGCCTTTGCAGTCCAGCACATTAACTCACAGCACCACACCAGGACTCCTGATCTTAGGAAAGCTGCCTTAATTTGAACATTTCTTTAGTCAGGTGACACCCAGAGGTTTTGGGAAAGGGCAGCCATCTATTTCTGTTCTCACCAGTATCATCTGCCACTGTTCACTGAGTACCCACAGCCGCCATCCCAGCAAGGCCCCAGGATGGGGGCATGGAGAGGAATGAGTCACAGAACCCTGTTTACCAATGGATGACACAGAAAGGAGTTGAGCTCCGGCTGATTTATTAAGCAGGGCCGAGGAAAATCACTGTATTCCAAACAAAAAGGGCCGTTTTGTATTTGGACACCAGCTTCCAACCGGACCCAGGTGAAGAGAAGCACCAGTTATTGTACGCCCCCGCGCGTCCTACAGCTGTATGACTATCCCTCCACGGGTCCTACCGGTCTTACCTCGCCCCAGGCCGGTTGGAGGTCCCGATGTCCAGAGGCACCCCGACGAAGGCAGCATCCAGCCCCTCGGGGGAGGCCTGCACCGGCAGGCGCATCATGGAGCAGATGCCCACGGACCGGGCCACGAACTCAGAGCTTGGGGGCCGGTTAAGGGGGGCATCGGAGGCCTGGCGGCTGGGGCTGCGCCCAGGGACGCAGAGCCCCGCGGTAGGCCGCTTTCCGAGCCCAGGGCGACTGGAGCGTACCCCCAGTGCGCCCAGGACGCAACGCAGGCCCTGGCTACAGCCCGATGCTTGCAGCCGCTGCATACCGATGGTCCCTGAAATCCGCAAGGGAGGGTGAATGCCGGGCCACCCAGGTTCAAAGAGCAAAAGCACCAGGATCAAGGGCGGGAAGGGATCCAGGGCCCACAGCTCTCTCCCCAACACCCTTCTCTGGACTTCAGCCTCTGGCTCCTTTGACAAACAGAGCCTGGTGGGCTGGGGAGGGGGCAGTACAGGAGGCCTCTGCTCAGGCGTGTCTGCCGGCTTTCCTGCACACCCACAACTACGCCTTTGGCAACCTCTTCTTTCCTCCAGGGTAATCTTTTTTTTTTTTTTTTAACCCAAAATATTTGAAGAGTTTTCTCCAAGAGAGAGAAATTGGAAATGCGTTTTTCCAAGGACAATTTGGGTGGGAATTTCAGGAAGTAACGAATATCTTCCTTTATAAACTGTGGAAAGGGGGACCTAGATGTAAGCTGTAGGGATGGTGGGCAGGAGCCCTCTAATCTGCTGCTTTCTGTATTTCCAAGGAAAAAAGAGGGCACACATTACCCGGAGATCATCTTCAAACCCTAAGCCAGACATCTCTCTCCAAATCTTCTTAAAACCTAGCAGTAGTTTAGTTGAATGTGTAAAGAATGCCCACCTTGAACTCTGTGCTCTTTCAAAATCAATCTACAAAAGGATCAAATTTACCACAACAATTTGGTCAGTTGGAGCAGTGAGTTCACGTGAATGTGATGGTGGTTAAGTACCGTAGAGTCAGTTCCGACCCATAGTAACCCTGTACAGGGTTTCCAAGACTGTAAATCTTTACAGGAGCAGAAAACCTCATCTTTTTCCACCCTCTGGTAGTTTCAAACTGCTGACCCTGAAGTTAGCAGCCCGATTCCATTCCTAACCACTACAATACCAAAGCTCCTTAATGGGGAGCAACAGTTTCATGTGAATGGGTTGCTTATTGAGGCAGGCCCAGGGAAGTCAGATGGTTGGGGAGCTTGAACACAGAACTCAAAGTCAGTGAATTGTACATATAGAAATTGCTGAGTGGCATATGTGTTGATGTATATATTTTCAGTTCTAAGTGCTTACTAAAGATCTTTATCTAAGTATGTAGACACAGGTATTTCATCTAAGTTAAATTTCTATCAAACATGTCAATAATCTTTCCATCTTTCTGGTTTAAAGAATAATGAGGTTATTCACCAATATAGTAAGAGTTATGTATCTATGGAGTCCTGGTGTGGTACTGTGGGTTAATGCACCAGACTGCAAAGCCGTTTGAACTACAAGGTCGGCGGTTCAAGCTCACAAGCTGCTCGTTGGAAACCCTATACAAGGTCGCTATGGGTCGGAACCGACTCGACGGCACATCACAACAACAACAATATAGTTGCAACAACAACAAAATAATGTTTACAAATAGAAAGAGGGGCAAGAAAAGACACCCTAGGGAAAGAAGTGGTTTGTAACGGAATTATGTGAACCATTTGGGGCATGAGATTTTTTAAGATCTCCTAAATTGAGATTGAATAGAAAACGTCCAAGTTTGCATTTAATCCTAGTGGTCATGACCTATCCATGCAGGTCAGCATTAAACCCCACAGCACCCTAGCTGATGAGTCAAAGTTTCCCAAAGGTCAATACAAAGTAATGGGTGTTGGAAGAGGCTGTGAAGTTGGTCCAGGCCACTTTCTGGACCAAGTGTAATTATCTTGTGTTTATTCTGCAATACCTTCTAGCCCCTACTCCACCACTGCTTCTTTCAAATCACCTGCCCTGACTGTAGCATTTCTCACTCCTGACTTTCCTTTTATTCATCCCTAAATATTTACAGTGTCGACTCCACTCCAGGCACTGTGTGAAGACAACTCTCGCCTCTCCCTCGCATTTACTACTGTTGGAGATTTTCCTCCAGGGATCTCTTTAGCCAGGAATCCTCTGGCTTGCCTTCAACCTTTGAGGGCTGCATCTCTGATGTCAAACTCTTTCACTATTAAGGTGAAATTTTTCGCCTGTAGGCACATAATTCACAATGCCAAATTCCAATCCATTTCTGAACTCCCCACGTGGAGGTCTTCAGGTTCAACTATTTGTAACTTTTCGACCTCTCTCATCGACCCTGCCCCATGCCATCACTTGGCAAGTCCTGATATTTTCTTGCATGGAAGCCTTCTTCTCATTTCCTTTGGCTCAGCCTTCCTACCTTTCTAACTGGTCTTATCAGTCTAGTGCCATCTTAGACTTCCCAGCACATAAACCTTCCTACAGTTCATCTGCCTTTCTAACCTTGCTTTCGTTACGCATCTTCGTGGACTTGTCCCTCTAGTCCTCGCCCACTTCACCCAACCCCACTTTCTCGCCTCCTTTCCTTTACTCAAGGGTCCTTGGTGGTGCAATGGGTTAAATGTTGGGCTGCTGACTGCATGACAAGCAGTTTAAACTCACCAGCTACTCCTTGGGAGAAAGACAAGGCTGTCTGCTCTCCTATAAAGATTTGCAATCTCAAAACCACTGTGGAGCTGTACTATCCTGCCCTGCAGAGTCACTGTGAGTTGGAATCGACTCTCGAGCAGCGGGTTGCATTTAGATTTTGGCTTCCTTTACTCCTTGCCTGGGATGCTTTCTCCCCTCATCTCCACCTGTCTGGTGGAGCTCATACTACTCTTGCTGTTGTTGTTGTTATGTGCTGTGGAGTCGGTTCCAACTCATAGTGACCCGGTACAGGGTTTCCAAGGCTGTACATCTTTACAGGAACAGAAAGCCTCATCTTTCTTCCGTGGAACAGCTGGTAGTTTCGAACTGCTGAGCTTAAGGTTTGCAGCCCGATTCGTAACCACTGTGCTACCAGAGCTGTAACTGCCTTAAAATCCTGATGATTCATCCATCATAACATGGAAGGCAAATCACTAACTAGAGAGAAAACACCTATCAACTTAGGTGAAGAGAAAGGGAAAAAAATCCATGTCTGTCTACCTGAGATAAGCACAGGACGAGGGGAAAGAGGCCCTATAAATTCCAAGATATGTAATCAGAAAAAGGGTAAACCCTGGCTCGACTATTGTTGTTATGTTCCAACTCATAGTGACCCTGTGTAGGGTTTCCAAGAGTGGCTGCTGGGTTTGAACTGCTGACCTTATAGTTAGCAGTCTAGTGCTTGTCCTACAGCGTCACACCAGGACTCTAGTATTTGTTATTGTTGTTGTTAAGTGCCATCAAGTTGGTTACAACACATAGTGACCCTGTATAGAGTTTCCAATGAGCGGCTGGTGAGCTTGAACCAGCAATCTTGTGATTCAAACTAACTTTGCAGTCCAGTGCATTAACTCACAGTGCCACAGCAGAACTCCAGTATTGTTGTTGTTGTTGTTGTGTGCCATGGAGTCAGTTCCAACCCATAGCGACCCTGTACAGGGTTTCCAAGGCTGTAAAGCTTTACGGAAGCAGAAAGCTTCATCTTTCTCACGTGGAGTGGCTGGTAGTTTCAAACTGCTGACCTTAAGGTTCGCAGCCCGATTCGTAACCACTACGCTACTAAGGTATATTAATCACTGAATGCCAATGAAAGAACTAATCTCCACTTCCCACAGGTGTTAGGTCATAGCTCAAAGTCGCTGCTGTTCTTGTTAGGTGCCATCTAGTTAGCTCTAACTCATAGTGACCCCATGCACAACAGAACAAAACGCTGCCTGGCCCCATGCCATCCTCACAATCATTATGTTTGAGTCAAGCATTGTTGCTGCCACTGTGCCAATCCAACTCATTGGGAGTCTTCCACTTTTTCGTTGACTCTGTACCAAGCTTGCTGTCCTTTTCTAGTGACTGATCCTTCCCGATAACATGCCCAAAGGACACAAGATGAAATCTCACCATCCTGGCTTCTAAGAAGCATTCTGGTTGTACTTTTTTACACAACAGAATTGCTGATTTCTCTGGAGTCCATGGTGCTTTCAATATTCTTCACCAAAACCATAATTCAAATGCATCAATTCTTCTCTGGTCTTCCTTATTCTTTGTCCAAATTTCAGGTGCATATGAGGCAATTTAAAATACAATGGCTTGGGTCAGGCACACATTGGTCCTCAAAGTGACATCTTTGCTTTTAAAGAGATCTGTCGCAGTGGATTTGCCTAAAGCCATATGTCATTGGATTTCTTGACAATTTCTTATAAGCCTTAACTGTGGATCCAAGTAAGACAAAATCCTTGACAACTTCAATCTTTTCTCCATTTATCATGATGTTATTTATTGGTCCAGTTGTGAGGATTTGTGTTTTCTTTACAATGAGTTGTAATCAATACTGAAGGCTATGTTCTTTGACCTACATCAGTAAATGCATCAAGCCCTCTTCACTTTCAGCAAGTAAGGTTGTGTCATCTATATTTCAGAGGTTATTAATGAGTCTTCCTCCAATCCTGATGCCACATTCTTCTTCAGATAATCCAGTTTCTTGGATTATTTGCTCAGCATCAAGATTGAATAATTATGGTTAAAGGATACAACATTGGCATACACCTTTCCTGATTTTAAACCACACAATATCCCCTTGTTCTGTCCAAATAACTGCCTCTTGTTCTTGTACAGGTTCCACATAAGCATAATTCAGTGTTCTGGAATTCCTATTCTTCACAATGTTACCCATAGTTTGTTATGATCCACACATTCTAATGCCTTTGCATAGTCAATAAAACACAAGTAAACATCTATCTGGTATTCTCGTTAGCCAAGATCCATCTGACATCAGCAATGATATCCCTTGTTCATGTCTTTTTCTGAATCCAGCTTGAATTTCTGGCAGCTCCCTGCTGATGTGTTATTGCAACTGTTTTTGAATTATCTTCAACAAAATTTTATTTGCATGTGATAGTAATGATATTGTTGGATAATCTCTGCATTCTGTTGAGTCACCGTTCTTTGGAATGGGCACAAACACAGCTCTCCTC